GTCTCAGGCTGCAGGAGACCAGGACCGTGCTGATGGGATGCACCAGTCTCAGGCTGCAGGAGACCGGGACCGTGCTGATGGGATGCACCAGTCTCAGGCTGCAGGAGACTGGGACCGTGCTGATGGGATGCGCTGGTCTCACGCTGCAGGAGACCAGGGCCGTGCTGATGGGATGCGCTGGTCTCAGGCTGCAGGAGACCAGGACCGTGCTGAAGGGATGCACCAGTCTCAGGCTGCAGGAGACCAGGACCGTGCTGATGGGATGCACCAGTCTCAGGCTGCAGGAGACTGGGACCGTGCTGATGGGATGCACCAGTCTCAGGCTGCAGGAGACCAGGACCATGCTGATGGGATGGGCCGGTCTCACGCTGCAGGAGACCGGGACTTGGCTGGCTCAAGCAAGTGTTCACGGAAACTCAAGTCAGACTGCCACTGGATCATCGCGGGTTGTCATGGCTCTGTCTCAGGGCCCACTGCCCCAAGCCACAGCCAGCCGCTCCCCCATGGCAGGGCGGCTGGGCTGCATTTCCTTCTCCCTAAGGAACACTCACTCCAGACTCAGTTGACATAGAGAGGCTGAAAGCAAGGATGCAGGTGCTTTTCTAGTCACCGTGGGGAGGACAGGGTGGCTGTGACGGCCTACTGGTCTACTGGCCGCAGCGTGGCCCACCTCCGTGCATGCACTAGACCACCAGTGCGGGTCATAGGCACCGAGCTCGCCTCTGACAGCCGCAGCCCCCAGGCCGCCCGCCGGAGCCAGTGCCTCCCTCCCCGCCTCACCCGGGCGCTTCGGAGAAGGCGGGGCCCCTGCTCTGGCTGCCATCTTTCCAGACAAGCAGCGAAGGCGCCGGGAGCCCAGCCTGCTCTGCTGGGAAGGGGCTGGTGCTGCCCCTGGCCAGTTTTAGCTGCACAGTTCTCATTGGGGTTATGATAGGAAAACTGCTGTTTTCAAACTAGTCATCACTGTGTGAAGGTTTTGCTTTATGTGTGTGGAGGACGCTGAGGTACTGGGGTGACACTGTATGAGCTTTCTCCTCCGTGGCTGTGAGACCCCAAACCATCAAGGCTTCCCTGCTCTGCATCTCGCCAGTGTCCCACAGCTCCAGCTGTCGTGGGCTTGTTTTCTACAAGGGCACTGAATCTCCTGCCTTCAGGCTGCAGCATCTGCACCGCGCTAGATTCTCTGCCACCCTGTGTCAACAGACTCCCGGCAAAGTTAGCGTGAGCTGTGCCAGGATGGAGATGGTAGCCAGGAGTACACTCAGTCCCTGCCACTCGGAGAACAGGAGGATGGCTCCAAAGTGAATGGGAAACAACAAAAACCACGCTGGGAGCCAGAACACTTCGCTGAAGACATTGATGGGTGTGGGAGACAGCAAGGGAGCTGGAGGAGGTACCAGGAGTAGAATCAGGGCAAAATCAACCCCCAGTCGGGCACCTGTGGCGCACGCCTATAACCCTAGCTACTCAGGAGGCTAAGATCTGAGGACTGCGGTTCAAAGCCAGCCTGGGCAGTAAAGTCCCTAAGATTCTTCAATAAAATACCTGAAAACCAGAAATGGCACTGTGGCTAAAGAGTACAGCCCTTGCCTTGTGTTGAAGAGCTCAGGGACAGCGCCCGGGCTCAGTGCAAGCCCCATGAGCGACCAAAAGAAAAAAAAAAGTCCCCACCCCACAGAGAACACTTCTTCCCAGAAGGGTCAGGCAGGCGGGCACGCTGCCGGCTGTCCCGAACCTCATTCTTCTCTGTGCTCTAATGCCATTAAAAATCCCACTGCTTCCTGAAATTGCTCCAGCCTGCATTGGCAGCTCCAGCCAGCAGCCTTGGTTTGTTTATCCTGTTTCCCACCTGAGTAATTCAGAGAAAAAGAATCATCTGTGGGCCCCTTAGAGTCCCAGTGTTGGCAGTAGGCCAATATTCTTAAGAACTTGGATCACCTCTCTGAAATGGAAGACCAGCGCAGAAGTAGCCAATTTTGGTGCTGCCGAGTGATGCCTGAGCTTTCGGGAGAAGTGGGCAGGTGGAGGCAGCGTCCTAACCATCGCCGTTCGTTTAGTGCTGGATTCCTCCCATGCGTGCAGCAACCCAGCAGTCAGAGGCCGCACTCACAGGTGAGAGGGTGGGAGAATGGCTGACTAGAACTTAGTGACTGAGTTTCAGAGCCTCAGCTGAAGTCTGTCAGCCCTAGGACGCGGAGGCAGGCCTGCAGGAGGCGCTCGTGCTCCTGAGTGCTCTAAGGCCCCCTGCTTGCCCAAGGCGCTGTCCCCAGCTCCTGGGTCTCCGCACGCTAGGCCTTGGGCAGGTGGCTGATGCACCGGGGCCCATCACCCTGACTTCTGGGACGCTGGCCAGTGTAAAGTCGGAGCTGGGCTCACCCACACAGTATCCCCGAGAAGCCAGGACACGTTCCGCTCGTTCCTCATTGCTAACATTCTCGTGTCGGCAAAGCATGGCTGTCGTCGCTTCAGTGAGAGAGCTGTAATTCATGGCTCATCTAGGTCGGTCCTGTGTGCTTATCACCAAGTGGCTCAGCGCACATGAAGATGTGACACCATGAGCCCGTGGTGGTCTGATGGTGACAGTGTCCCACGGGCCAGTTCACCTTTCCCGTGATAACAGTAAATAAAACAGGTTTTACCAGGCGGCGGGTGCCCGGCAGTTGAGTGTCTACCCTGGCTCGTCTCAGATACCCCCAGACCCTCGCAGTGTGGCCTCGGGAGGCACACCGTTGAGTACTTGGGTCCCCTTCTTCTCTCCCTGTTGTCTGCCCAGTCTGCCAGGCCCTCCTCAAGGTAGTGGAGGTGGCACAGGCAGACCCGGTCAGTGGTGTAAGCTCGGAGCCAAAAGCATGCCTTCTCGCCTCTGTGGGCTGTGGCCCCGTGCGGGGCAGCTGGGGGAGGACCAGGTGCTGTGGATTACCCAGGCTGCGCCCTGCTCGGGGGAGCTGCTGGGTGGCGCCATCTTGCAAGCTGCCTCAGAATGGCTGGGCTCCTTTTTGTCTTGTATTTTTTTTAATGTTCAATTACGTATGCTATATTTTAGGGCTTTTGATGTTCAAATGTTTATTTTTTGGGGCCAGTACTGAGACTTGAACTTGGGGTCTCACACTTTTTTTTTTGCCTGTTCTTGGGCTTGAACTCAGGGCCTGGGCGCTGTCCCTGAACCGCTGCTGCTGCTTTCTTTTTGCTCTAAGGCTAGCTCTCTACCACTTGAGCCGCAGCACCACTTCTGGCTTTTTCTATTTATGTGGTACTAAGGAATGGAACCAAAGCTTTGTGCATGCTAGGCAAATACTCTACCACTGAGCCACATCCCCACCCCTCTTGCTCAGCTGTTCTTGCTTAAGGCAGGCACCTGCCACCCACACCTCCAGTTCCCTGATGTTTAAGGCCAGCTTCTTCAGATCGCTGGGCCGATGGTCAAGACAACATGGCGGGACTCCGTCTAAGCAGCGCGGAGGCCAAGGCTGCCTGCAGAGCCTCTGCTGGAGGCAGAGGTGTGGCGGGGGGGGGGGGGCCCTGTGCTCGTCGGCCCGTGCCCAGCCTCCACCCCGCGCGGAGGGCCTGCCCTCCCTGTTTCTTGCTGGGGGCCATCATGTGTCTGCATATCCACCCAAATGACTGTCTCTGTGTGGGTGCTACCCGACCCCAGGACCCCCGGCCGCTCCCTGGTGAAAATGCACTCTTCTCAAATGCCCACACACAGAGGGCAGCACATCTGTGTAAACACACCACTGATGACCCAGACAAACACTTTAATTTTTCTGGAGGCATAATTTAGTGATCTTCTCTAAAGCACTTTTCAGTCTCTGGCAGTCATGAGTTACAGAAGACTCAGCACCAAAGGAGAGCAGGAGACGCCAGTCCCTCTGTCCCCAGCCCTGCCTCCCCGCAGCCTCAACCAGCCTTTGAACGATCAGACAAACACACACACACACACACACACACACACAGAGCAGATCCTGTCACACACACATGCACGCACACACACGCACAAACACCTGTGCAAGTGAAAAGAAAGCCAAAACCCGCTAGTTTATATGGGGGGGGAAAAAGATTTAAGAGCATCTTCTCCCCCTCCCCCGGCTCTGAGCCCCAACTCTGGCTGGAGAGCACGTGACTCCCGCTTGACCCGGCCTCAGGGCTGCGTCCTGCTAAGAAGGCTCTGCGAGGCCACCAGTTCCTCCGTTCCCTTTGGAGTGGATGCCGCCTCGCGTCAGTCACTCTGTTTCTGTTTGTTGTCGATGTTGCCGTAGGCAGAGCCCTTGTCGATTTCCGTCACTCCGATCATCCATCGAACTCCCACGGAGGCTGCAGAGAGGGGGGAGAGAGTGAGGAGCAGCAGGAGCTGACCCCCAGGGCAGTTCACCCCCAGGGTGGGGAGACCCATGGGGCGGCGGCAGCGGCCTGCCAATCACAAGCCTGAGGCCCCGCCGCCCACTGTACACCTCCATGGCCTGGTCCAGGCCAGGAACCGACCGTGGCCGGCACTGTGCAGCCTTTCACAGGACCCTGCTGTCCAAAGCAATGAGCATTCTTTTGGGGGAGACAGGGCATCAGCTGGAAGGCCTGACAAGCAGGCTTTGTCGAGGAGACTGGGAGCCCCAGGATCTCCGGCACCTAGCACCCCACAAGCACCGCCGCTGGGCTCTGGGATGAATATTGGAGCAAAGACCCTGCTCTCACAAAGCCTGGCTCCCAGCAGACCTGGCCTGGGATGGCAGGCACGGGAGACAACCCTCCGCTTCCAGAAGACCCACCAGCTGCCCACAAGCGCGGGGATGTAGCCCACGGCCGGTCTGGCAGAGCTGCATGAGTTCCAGAGCCGACGCTGGCCTGGTGGGGACACACTGGAGAGGCCTAGTCCTGACCTAGTCCTGGAGGTCCCCGGAGCACAGGGAGGTGAGCAGAACATGGAGAAGAGGTACAAGCACAAAGCAGTTGGGGCAGAGAGGCGGCAGGCTCGGAGGGGGTGCGCTGGCACCTGGGGAGGAGTCCATTGGAAGAGGTCAGAGATTCAGTGTGGCTCGATCCATCAAGGCCAGCAACAGGGGGCGGTGGGGGGAGAGGGCTGCCAAGCCACTGCTTTCTTCTGCACCCTCCACTATTTCTTGTACATTTTTAACCTCACACTGTGTCTTTTCTTTCTCCAAAGACTAGCAGGGTCTGTTAGAGGAAGCATGGCATCTTAGCGCGGCGGGTGGAGGCAGAGGGCGCTGCGGTGTGCGCGGTGTTGTGTGGAGGCGGCACGCCGTGCTGCAGGGAGTTGGGTTATCTGTGTAGACGTTGAGCTGCCCAGGGCCCCGGGCTGTCAGGGGCGCCTCTGTCTCCGGGGACAGGCGCAGCCCAGCCACGTGCTGCCTTCCCTGCTCTCCGGCAGTGAACAGAGAGCATCCTAATGCACCACAGGAATAAGAGAACTGTCCACTTCTGACACACATGGTTTCATGACTTTGAGGCATTTCCTCACTCTTGGAGAAGCAGAGACTGCCCATATCTGACTCCTTCAGGACAGGAAGTTTCCTCATTTTTTCCTCATTCCTTTCCCCACATCCCAGGCTCCAGGAAGCACAGGAGAGAAGGCGGGCGCAGTGACACAGCAGGGTCACCTCCAGGGCAAGTGGCCCATGAACCCAGGAGGGGTAGGAAATAACGATAAAATAAATCAGTGAGAACCACAGTTACCAGGCATCATTGCTCGACTGGCCAGCCAGTCTTGAGAAAGCAGCCCTTAGGGGCGGGGCCCCGGCAGCGCTCCCAGAGCCGCTGGAGTTCCTCCTGGGCAGGACATTGCTGTGATTGGCAGGCAGCCTGCTCCTCAGGAAGGCTGCTGCCTCTCGTGGCCCCTCCCACCCCAGCCAGGCAGTGCCTTCAGCCTCTTACTCTCTACTCACCCATACAGAAGAGGATGACCAGGCTGGCCAGCGTCATGGAAGAACCACTGCTGACCATGCTGACCAGGAACTGGAAGAAAGGGTAGAGCAGCAGCGAGGCCCAGAACAGCCAGTTGACCAGCGCCCAGGGCCGTCTTGGGGGTACCTGGGGTGTCTCCGGGAAGATGCCAGTCCTGTAGTATTCCTCCTGAAAGGCATCCTGGGGGACAGAGGAGGAGGCCTCAGATGCCACGCTGGGCTCCGTGGCCTCACGGGGGCCTCTCTCGCAGAGTCTCAGCTCTGGGGTCTCCACAGTGGCTGCTCACTGCAGCTCGGGTGTCCCCTGCCCCAAAGGCAGGAGGGCAGAGCCGAGGCCTGGCGCTGGCCAGCCTAGGTTGTCCTGACCACAGGCAGGTGCCCGTGCTCAGCATCTGGACCCCTGGTCTGAGACAGTGATGGCTTCCACACAGGCTGGCAGCTGAGTGACAGGAAGCACTGGCCTGCTGACCCGCCCCCAGGATGCCCATGGCCTTGCCACTCTGAGTGCTGGCTCAGCACACAGGCTGCCATCAGCCCTGGCGCCTTCCCTAGGCACACACATGGAGGATGCACACGTTACCAGGGCTGGAGGAGCTGCAGGAGCTGCTCACCCGCCCGCCTCCCACGAGGCACACACAATTTACAGCTGGGCATGGGTGCCTCACGCCTGCAATCCTAGCTACTTAGGAGGCTGAGATCTGAGGATTGTGGTTCAAAGCCAGCCAGGGCAAGAAAGTCCATGACACTCTTACCTCCAATGAACCACCCAGAAGCTGGAAGCAGAGCTGTGGCTCAAAGTGGTCTGGAGTGAAAAAGCTCAGGGACAGTGTCCAGGCCCCGAGTTCGAGCCCTAGGATCACCGTGCAACTTACAATCACGGGCGGGTCCAGCTGCCCAGTGGATGCCTTCAGAGGACACAAGCAAGGACCTCTGGAGCAGGGAGAGAAGCAGGTAACCCTGGGGAGCCAGCCCCAGACAGCGTAGGTGAGGGGCTCTGGGAGGCTGCCCAGCGCGGGAAGGGACCTTTAAGAGCTGGTGTTGCTTGTTCTGACATTGCTTCCTGGTCAGACTGGTGACCCGAGAGGCATTTTCCACGCTTAATGTGGCTCCCACTCACGCCTGAGGGCTAGAGGCCGGAGGCTGGAGGCCAGGCCAGCCGGCTACCCACCTTCTCCTGGTAGAGCCTGTGCAGCCAGGCAGCGCACTCGTCATCGTCTTCCGGGATATCTTCTATGGGAATCCGCCTGCAAAAGCAGAGAGCTGCTAGCCGGGAGGCGGCCCGGCCCGCCCCCCCCCCCAGCTCTGTTCCAGTTCCAGGGCTGGCCATGGGGGCCTTATCTAGGCATCAAAGACCATGGGACAGTGCAGAGGGGCCTTCAATGCACAGAAAGCCTGGAACAGCAGCTCAGTGGCACCAAGATGCCATCAGGAGCAGCGACGCCTGCCTCCTCCCATCTCCATCTCAGGAAGTTTTCCCGAACCCCATACGTGCCCCTCCCTGAGAGCACGGTGCTACGTTAGTTTCCTCATGAGACAATCAAACATACAGAATCTACCCATACAATGGCCAGGCACTGGAGCTCATGCCTGTAATCCTAGATAACTCAGAAAACCTGAGGGTCGCAGTCTGAAGCCCGACTGGGCAGAAAAGTCAGTGAGACTCGTCTCCAATAAACCACCAAAAAACTGGAAGTAGAGTTGGGGCTCAAGTGGTAAAGCGCCAGCTTTGAGCAAAAAAATAAAAGCCCAAAAAACCCTAAGGGACTTGAGTTCAAGCCCAGTACTGGGGTGCGCGCACGTGCACGCACACGCATGCACACACACACACACACACCCCTCTCCATATGAATCCAAAGGCTGAAGACACCAACGCAGGCCTTTCTAGCACGGGACCCACAAATCACGGTGCCCCAGAAGCTACTCACACGCTCCATCTCGACACTGGTGGGCATGGGTGCCGGGGAGACGCTGTGCCGTGTCCCCTGTCCCCCCATCCTCAGGCTGTGGGCTCTGGGGATTTCACTTGTGCCCGATGTTGCCCACAGCACAGCCCACGCCTGCCACGACTTTTACGGGGTCCTCGCTCCTCACGCCCTGGTGCACCTGGGCTGGAGACACAGGGCCTGTCCTCGGGGGCGGGGCATTCATCCTACTTAGGGTGCCGTGGGCTCCTAGAGGTAGAATGCCATCCTCCTTCCTCCCTGGGCAGACTTCCCCAGCCCTGCAAGCTCATCCACAACCTTTCTCTGGCCTTTTGGGGGGCCTTCTATGCATTTCCATGAAACGTCTACTACTTGCTTCTCCCTTTCTGACCTGCGCGGGTCTGCCCCTCAGCTCTCTGAGTGGGTCTTGGGTTCAAGGCCAGGAAAGCCCGCCCAGGATCGCTTTGTTTGCAGGGAAAGCTGAGATGGTTCTGCTCTTTTCAGTAACTGGGTTGGCACGCGGGCCTGCAGCATTCAACACGCCTCTGCGGGGTGGCCGCCACGGGAACGCTGCTGGTCTCAACAGCGCCCACACAAGACACGCGTGTGCGGCGGCTCCGCGCTCTGCCTCCGAGGCTGGGCACGACAGCATCACAGCTCAGCCGGGCACGCCGATTCCTACTCGGGCCCTGGAGAGTTGCAGTTGCCTAAGAAAACAGCCTGGTAGAGGCTGCTGCCCTGCCTGGGCAGGGTCAGATACCGGGCAGAGCGTCTGCCAAGTACGGAAGGGTCCAGGGGAGACCTGCTCGCTCTGTCCCTGGCAGAAGGAATCCAGCTAATCTTTCCCTCCTTATCTGCAGTCTGTGGCGGCGCCATTGGAACAGGAGCAGTAATGATGGTGGTGCTTCGAGTATTTTTGGGGGGGAGGGGTGGGAAAACCGGGTAGGACGTGATGGAACAGAGTCTGCCAGTCTCCAGAACCATCTCCCCAGGAACAATGGAGCCGGGGGGGGGGGGCTGGTGGCCACTGGATTCACACTGCCCTTCGTGCTGAGCCGGCATTCACAAAGCTGTGCACCACTTGCCTAGCTCTGTTCCAGAGCCTTCTGAGAGGAGGATGGAGCGCCTCAGAGACCCATGCTGCGTGACCCAACCCAGAGCGGATCTTCGTGGCAGTCTCTGACCTAATCGCACAGATCACGCACACTAGGGTTGGGTTTTTTTTTGGGGGGGGGTGGGGGGTCCGGTCGTGGGGCCTGAACTCTGGGCCTGGGCGCTGTCCCTCAGCTCTTCAGCCCAAGGCAAGTGTTCTACCACTTGAGCCACAGCACCACTTCCGGTTTTTCTGCTTATGTGGTGCTGAGGAATCGAACCCAGGGCCTCATGCATGCAAGGCAAGGGCTCTACCACTGAGCCACCTTCCCAGCCACCATGCTTGGGTTTTACTGTCTGCGGCATCTTTCTGTTCTGTTTACCACTAATCTTGGTGGCATTCTGGAGGCTGGAAGTCAGACCCATTGTGTGATCTACAAGCGGCTGAGGAGAGTTCATGTATCTACTGTCTTGTGGAAGTGTTTTCAATCAAATCGCAGGAGCCAGCAATGGCACGCATAAGTGAGACACTGCAGACGTGTTCCCCAGGCCTGTCCAAGCCTCTTTCTAAATTGTGGTGGTCGGTGTATATTTCAGAGCAGACCCCTCTTCCCACACAACAAAAAGCCACTTCTATACTCAAATCTCCAAATGACTGGCTGAAATGCCATCTTCCCTTGTCCACGCAGAACCTGTGATAAGAAGCAGCTGAAGGTCGGGCGCTGGTGGCCCACACCTGTAATCCTTGCTACTCAGGAGGCTGAGCTCTGAGGAACGCAGTTCAAAACCAGCTTGGGCAGGAAAGTCTGTGAGACTCTTACCTCTAATGAACACCCCCCCCTCCCAAAAGCCAGAGGTACAGGTGTATCCCAAACCAGACTTGAACAGGACAAAAAAAAAAATCAAGGGACTGAGCCCAGGCTCTGAGTTCAAACCTCAATACTGGCAAACAAACAAGCGGGATGAGGAAGCAGCTGGGAAAGGAGACCTCTTCAGATTATCCCCAAGCGCAGGATGCCCCTCTCCCTTCCTAATATGAACTCAATGCAAACGTGTGCAACGCCAAACAGACCGCAAGCAAGAAGGAATAAACCAGATCTCTGCATGGAGATCTCTTAGTCACCTGGGATTTATCTACTTAGAAATGAGGGCTTTTTCTAAAAATCAAATGGAACTAACTTACCTCACATAGCAATCAGCATGATATTTCTTTCCATTTAGGACTCCCAGCAGTGTTGGATTTTCATTATTTCTGAAATTGAGTGTACAGTCATATACAGCTGGAACTACAAAAATAAGACAAACACAAAGCAGTGTACACGGGTGAACCCAGGTCTGTTTGGTAGAAAAACACCCTGAACATTCACGTCACTAACGTGTCTACAACGTCACGGAGCGAGTACAGATTTCTTCATCACGGTTCTCGGTATTGTTCAGTGTTTTACCTTGCACAGGCATCATTTGTGCAGTCAGAAAAGCCCAGAATGACCTAGTAATAGATGACCATATATCCTGAGGTCAGAGCAACTATCAAGCAATACTGCAAGCCTGAATCTAGGTCATAATGACAATGATACGCAACTTTCTCATATGCGCACAGCCTGTTATGGTCAGCAAACGCCATCTTGAAACAAGTGCAGAAAGAAAACCAATTAATCCAAACTTTGTGATCCCAGAGTGAGTCTGGCTCACCAAAGTATAATCATTCTACGCACATTGTTTGCCTCCAGAAGGAAAATAAGACAACTATACACCTTGTCTTACATCTTGCTGGCAAGACCATAAAGAATTAGAATTATAACCAGCTGAAATAAGGATGGGACAAGTTCTCTGCTTCCAGTGGCTCTACTCAATGATGTGTTAACTGTCAGCGTGTTGCCTGTGTCTAAAAATCACTACCCTAGCTGGCCTAAGGTAAGAAATGCTTATTGGGTCAAACGACAGAAGACTTTGTGACTAGAGGACTGGATGGAACCCAAACACGTGGTGGAATCAGATGGGCAGGAGGGAGGTGCAGCGGAATGTCTGGGATCCAGAGCGGTCTCCCTGTAGGGAGACCCTGCAGGCTCAGACGGGGCACCCCGCCCTCCCAGCCCAGTTCTGGGAAGTGGATGATTCCTCTGCCACACGGTGTCTGCAATGGCAGAGGTCAGGTGCTCACTGCCGCGCCCGACCCTTCGACGGACCCCTTTACGTGTGCAATTGCTACAAATGAAACGAGCGGGTGCAAAGGTCAACAGGAGGAGCCAAGACTCAAAAGTGAGAACATCACCATCCATTTTCTTCTGCCCACTATTGGACCCCAGGAAGAGCCTGCAGATGTGCTGTCTCTGCAGGGGCGGGGGGTGCCTGGGCAGGGGCTGCTCCCCACCCTGGGGCTGGAGGTGGGGCTGAGCCCCAGGATACAAGAGAGAAATGCCACCCTGGGCACACCTTCTGAGCCTCAGCTAAATCCACGGGACCCGACTGTGGACGAGTTCTGTGCTCGAGCCCTTTACTCCACGAGGACGGGTCCTGGGGCTGGGAGCCGCGTCTGACCTGCCTCTGCTGATGGAGCTGGGCCTAGCCTCTCCTCAGTGGCCCTGGAGCACAAACCTCAGAGAAGGTCTGCCACGCCCTGAGAGGCTCCAGAAACGAGACATTTGGGCAGGATGGAAAGGCCAGCGCTCCCCAGAGCCCAGGGCTGGGAGACAAGTAAGGCCGCATAGAAGAATGAGGAAGATATATTTTGAACAGGAAAAAGGAGGAGTAAAAAGAAAACAGGACCGCCTGATGGGAAGCCGCAGTGGGCAACTTGTTGCTGATTTCTTCTGTTCTGACAGGCGGTCAGTGAGGGCTCTTAAGTGGACAGGTCAGCCGCCACAGCCCACAGGTCAGTTCACCATTGTCCAACAGATGGGCAAGAAAGGCCCCAATCACCCAATGATACAGGTCCTGCTGTGACGCCATGACTGACCAACAGAGGGCACTGTTTGCTTGCAACAGCAACAGGAGGGGCCAGCCAGGTGTGCTGCCTGGTCCCTGGACCCAGGTTCTGAATCCCCTTATAGACCCTAACATGGTCGGCTGGACGCTGCCAGAGACCAGCGCTGTGGCCACTGCAGGCGGGGGGAGGCTCAACGGCCGTGGCGTGCCTACCTACGTCTCTCAGACACCTCACGGTGACGGCGAAGCCCTTGGTGCGGGGCAGCAGGTGGTGCTTGAGGCTGGGCAGGCCCTTGGCTTGGGCCACCTGCATGCTGATCTGGTGTTTCTTCTCCGTGAACCGTGTTCCTTCGCAGTGGATCAGGAACTGGAAGGCAGAAGGAGGAGGTCACACAGGATCCCAGGGTCACACCAAGCCTGAAGGTCACACACAGCCCTCTGGTTGCACAGGTTGAAGGAGAGGCAAAAGGGCAGTGGGCATTTAAGGAGAAATGGTGACCTGGGAGCAGGGGCACTCCTTTGCCTTCCTGGGGTCCCTGGGAAACAAAGATGAGCTCGGATGAAGTCAAATCCCTGACAATAGGCCTTCACCGGGCTACGGATTTCCAGGCCTCCTCTTCCCGTTCTCAGACTGACACGTCTGTACCCCTCCCCCTCCCTTTCACCCCTTCCTCTTCCTTCTTCCGTCCTCCCCTCCCCCTCCCCCTCCTTCTTGCCACAGAGAAGGTGGACAAGACCTCACATGACCAGCTGGGAGCCTGAGTTGCGGGTTTGTACCAACCCACCAATAACTGAGAGGCTTTCCTCCGTGTCCCTGGTGCCTTACATGTTCAAATACACTTTGCCCCGGCTCCCAAGTCTTTACTTGGTGGAGGGTCAGTGCGCAGTGTTGGGGGACCAGGAGGGGCACACCCCGCTCCGGGTCACACACAGCTCTGCGCCCGGAGACCGGAAGTGAGGCAGCGCGCGGGGACGCAGGTCGGGGCTCACGGGGTCTGGCTGCCCGGGGCAAAGACTACGCACAAAGTACTTCTCGGGGTAGTCCCGCAGGCGCAGGAGGCTCGCGGCCACCGTCTGCCGGTCCTGCTCCCACTTGCGCGTGCAGAAGATCATCTCCGTGAAATACCACATCCAGCCGATGATCGGGACGTACGCCAGCTCTTTCTTCGCCAAGACTTTGGAACTCTGAAACAGAGGGACAGCGCAGGGGCCGTGAAGGAGACTGGAGAGCCCCTCCGGTGGCTGTTCTGAGGTTCTTAGTGGAAAAGAGTGAAGGTTCACACCGAAGGCCTCGGGGAGAGTTCTAGAACACAGTGAAGCCAAACCCGTGCCTTGGTGCCCTCTGCAGCGTGTCAGCCAGAGGCCGGGAGAGGGCGGGATCCGCCAACAAGCCAGCCACCAGTTGGAGACGGGCAAGGGTCTTGAGGAGGCTCCAGGGGTCACCAACACCTTCTGGATCCTTCTTGTCGATGACGCTTGCTGTGTCTGCTGCACAGTGGTCAGCGTGTCAGCTCGGCCCTCACATCTCACCTGATCCTAAGCGAAGCCTCCGCTCTGCCGGCAGCAAGTGGGATTCTGGGGAGGCTCTCGGGGTCCCCCGGCTGGCAGATCAGCCGGCTGGCGGCTCTCAGCCTGGGAACCTCGCTCTACCCATCCCTTTATCCTTTATCCCTGTGGCAGGAGACAAGCCCCATCGGGGTCCCGAGTCTGAGTCCCCGCCTGCTAGAGTGAACTCAAACCACACAGGCTCCGCCAGGCTGTGGACACACAGAGACTCAGTGCGAGGGAGGGGAAGGGGCACTGGGGCTTTGTGTCTAGTGGACGTGGCGCCTGCAATTCTCATCCTTCACTTTAGAATCAAGTCGTTCCTCCACTACTGAGTGCAGATAGTTACGGCAGCCTGAGCTGTGCCCGTGACAGCTGTGTGGTGAGCCTCTAACTTAGGAGGGGCCCAGGCCGCGGTGCCCTGGGCCTGTCCTCTGTCCCTTCCCTGTCCTCTGTCCCTTCCCTGTCCTCTGTCCCTTCCTGTCTCCCCACAGCTCAGCCCAGGACCACCGCCATGTCCCTCCCTGCTGCATGGAATAGGATGGTGTCAAGAGCCCTTTTCAGTGGTGTTTAAGACAAACCTTTACTCCCTCCACCGTGAGGAAGAAAAGGCACAAACACCTCGTAACAGCACTCATTTGTTTTTGATGAGTTTTGTTTTCGATACAAATCCAATATGCAAATTCCAGCGGGAGACAGATCTTGCAGATGTGGGAGGGAGGCCTTGCCGGTGTGATTTAAATGAACAGGAATATGTACCCCATTTTACAGATGATTAAACTGAGGCCAGAGGCACACAGCATATAGCTGATCACCAGAAAAAGGGAAGACTAGAACCTGCTTGTGTCTGAGGCTGACACCCACGGCTGCGGGGTGCAAAGCATCCAGACCCTGGCAGAGCTGGGACAGCACCAGTCTTGAGCGAGAAAGGTAACGGATGGTGCCAAGGCCCCCAGCGTCCCGTACTAGCACGTGTGTGCGTGTGTACGCACACGCACACGCACACAAAGGTCTGTGATGCGCAAAAGGAACCTTGTTTAATGTGTCTTTTCAGCCTTAAAATCCTGGAAACTACCAAAAGGCTACATCCTCATGTCACTTATGTTTAGTAATAAGAGACTCATTAAAAGACCAGCCTAGAAACTCTTCCCTCAGGCTGAAGACATTTCGCTTCTTTTCCTTTCCTTGTGAAAACGGTGGCCATTGGTCCTGATGTTAAGGAAGCCGCCGCGGGGCTCGGTGGACGGCTTTGCTCAGCACGCTGAGCCTTGCTGAGCAAAGTTTTCCTGGCTGTCACCAGACACCGATTCACATCTCGTGGTGTTACAGCACACCACGACGCCGCAGCGTGGGAACCAATGGGAGCTTGGCGCGGGTGTTCAACGGCGTGGGCAGGGATGGGTCTGAGGGCCCACCGCTACCCACCGGCTCACTGAACCACGCCGCAACACGGTTACAACAGCCCCAACTCCGTGACCACACACAGAACCCACAAGAGCATCTGCAGTTAGCTTTCTTTGGTCGCTGTCTGCTGAGCACCAGCAGGACGCTCACTTTGTGACCTGACTCGCCGACCCACGAGAAGCAACAGTCCCAGTGGATCCTGGGAAACAAGCAGGACGCACAGGAGAGCCGCCCGCAGGGCTGGGGCCTCGCCTGGCCATCCTGCGTGTCCTAGGGTTCAAAGTGTCTTGTGTTTGCGCGCGTGCGCATGTGTGTGTGAAGGAGAGAGGGGGGAGGCGAGGCGGGGGACAGAGGTGGAGGAGGGAGTGAGGCCTTTCTAGTTGAGGTTTTCTCCAAGCCGGCCGCTGAGAAGTGAGAAGACCGAGTGGAGCCGGCAGGCCGCCTCCTTCAGCCCGGCTCCTGGGATGTCGCCCTCTCCCCTTACTACTACCAGGAACCGGCAGAAACCAGTCTGGGGCAGGGACTAACCAGCTGGATGGCCTCTGACCTTTGTATGAACACGGTTTCCTGGCTTCCAGGCCGTGACACCAGAAGTTCCTTGTCATGTGGCTCACTCACCACTCACTGCTTAATGAGGTCCCTAGGTGAACTCTGAACTGGATGGGACATTAGTTTAAAATACTCAGGCTAAAGTGCTCTTCATTCAACTGCTCTGTTTGCATAGCAGCAGTTCCATGGGGTCCCTCTGTCCAGCCCCCCCCCCCCAGGCTGACAAGTCAAGCGGGCGGCTCAGCGCTGTCTGCTGTGGTGTGTAAGCCCCTCAGCCTGACCACTCCACACAGAGGTGTTCGGTAAGCTCCTCTTTAGACAAACCAGGCACAGTGCAGGTGCTGGGCACAGAGGAAGGGTGACATGTCCCTAGCCCCCCAGTCTGTGGGTAAAGAGGATCTGAAAGCTGGGGGCAGCGGGGAGGCTCGGCTAGCTGCTGCACCCCGCGCCCCAGGCTGGGGAGGGCCAGGCTAAGTCCACAAGAGGCAAATGTGTGTGTGTGTGTGTGCGTGTGTGTGCATGTGAGTGTACACATGTGCATGTGCGCGTGCATGTACGTGTATCCATGTGCATGTGCACGCAAGTATGAGTGTATGTGCATGACTGTGTGTGTGTGTAAATACCAAGACCTGAGCGACTTCCCGCGTCCAGGTGTCCCATGCCAGGCCCCCTCCGATGCTCAAGGAAAAGGTGGGAAACGGGAAACAACTGGAAAATCCTCATGAGTCCCCAGACAAAAGGAACCGTGTTTCACCATTGTCACAGCCACAGGGGAGATGCATTAACCAACACGGAATGAGAGCTGTCTGGCGGCACACTGGACATAACTGCCCCGTTCATCCAGGTCCAGCCGGGGCCCGGGGCTCCTCGGCTCCTGATCATGTGAACCCCACCCGACCTCCCCCCCCTGTGCCAGCCCCAGACTTCCTTCCTTCCACAGGAATACAACAGTGCACGGGGAGGGGAGGGGCCCTGTGGGGACCCCAGGGGTGAGGGGGGGAGAGGCTGGAGGACACTTACAGCACCTGACTTGGCTCAAGGGGCTGTGGTGGGGAGAGGGGGGTGCTGTGCAATGCCCTCTCAGCCCTGCTCACTCTGGGGATGGCCCGCCTGGGCCTTCTGGTCAGGCCCTGGACCTGGAGTCCTAGGAGGAGCAGCAGAAGGCATCACAGGACAGGGCAGGGACGGGACTCCCCAAGGGCGGAGATAACAGCAGCCGAGCAGGCCCCCCCACCTGTCCCACAGGCACACCCAGCTGGGGGCAGGTGTTGCAGGGCAGCTGTAGGTGGAGGCACAGGGCCTCGGGGCGGGGCAGGGTTCAGTTAGTGCAGCCAGAGCCCTGCAGGGCTGGTCACAGTCTAGGCCCAGGTGGGAGCAGCTGGCCAGGGCTGTACACAGAAGGGAGAGAGGGAGACAGGCAGCAAAGGCCCAGTCCTCTGCAGGCCAGCCTGGTTACAACTAGTCTGATTTTGGCTGGTCCAAGACATGCCCAGAGCATGCTACTCTGTGGGAGACGGGGCTGCTGGGTCTCACCCAGCACAGCACTTAAAAAATTAATGCAAATGTATTCATTATATTCCATGTGCCGTTATACGCACACTGAACTGTGTCATTTGAGGGCAGGGGTGAGGGGGAGAAGAGATGGGTGAGAGGGAGGGGAGGGGTGGCATGGATGCAGATGCATTGTACTCATCACATGACGGGTGCACCTGAGACCTCTTTGTACAACTGCATAATAACAATAGGTAAATATTTAAACACCACCACCACACGGACGTGTGTGGGACCGTGCGGAGTGATGAACTGAGACGCAGCTGAGCGGCCTGCTCCCTGCCCGGCCAGCGTGCCACATCCATGAGATACTGATCGCCCACACCGGGCCCCACAAGTAGGTGGTTTGTCCCCCGCCACCCCCATCGGTGGGGCCTGTCCAGCCTGCAGACAGCGGCAGACTTCCCGGCCTGCTCAGATAATGCGAGGCTTCGCACTAGGGAGGTTTAGCTACAGGGGGATCTAGTGCCAAACCACTGGTAAAAAACCCCACCAAGCACAACATCCTTGTGTCCACCCCTCTCCCCCACCTCCCTTCCCCTTCTAACCATGAACTCCACATGCTCAAAGAAGAAAGGACTGCCTTGCACTTATTTGGTAATAGGCATTTGAACCTAGGTACCTGACTCATTCTATTCAGCACATAAGACTGCTAAGAATTTGCAATCAAGGATCAGAACAGCCAGCAAATGTGTCCCCCCCACACACCCCCCAAGGCCACACAGCCAGTGGATATAAGAGCCAAGGTCAAGTTCTCAGAGACTGGAATCCAGCATTGTTTTGCCAAGGCTGACCCTCCCCTTTCACCCCTGCCAGAGAAATGCACTCTGGAGAAAGTAGGGAGAAAAGAAAGAGCTGTTTTTGATAAGGCTAATTCTTTCTCTTCTTTCTTTCCTTTCCTTTTCTTTCTTTTCTTTGTGTGTGTGTGTGTGTGTGTGTGTGTGTGTGTGTGTGTCCTAGGGCTTGAACTCAGGGCGGTGCCATCCCTGAGCATTTTTGTTCAAAGCTAACATTCCATCATTTGGGACACAGCTCCACTTCCTGATATTTTGGTAGTTTATTGGAGATAAGAGACTCACAGGCTTTCCTACCCTGGCTGGCTTTGAACTCCAATTCTTAGATCTCAACCTCTTGAG